CCAGCCCCGCCGCACTGCTCGGGGGCCCGGTTCTGCCGTCACCGCTCCAAGACCGACAGGATTTTCCCCTCACAGCTCCCTGGGCGCCATCTTACATTCAACCCTCACAGCCAATGGGCGCCGAATGCCTCTCTCGCGATAATCCGGGCGGCGAATCCCGCGAGAGTTGAGGCTGCCTCCTGGCCAGACTTAAAGGGAACGCTCTGCCTAGGAGGTAGGCCGGGCCTCTGGCTGCAGTAGCGGCGAAAAGAGGGGTATAGGGCGGAGCGCCCCACCCCCCACGCCCCCTCCTGCGGGGCGGAGCCACTGCCGGAGGTCGGCCAAGCCTTGGAGTCTGGGCAGGCTGGGGGCTCAAAGCTTGCTCCCTATGCTCATCTTGTGCCTCCTGCCCTGGCCACCTTCGGTAGCACAGCAGCCCCAAGCGGTGTCGGCCTCGCTTAAGGTGGCCCCCACAGCTACTGACTTAGGCCTGGGGCTCCAGCCGCGTCCCACCAGGGATGCCCGCGGGATGCTGTCCTTTCCGTATCCCTAGTATCTGGGACCCTCCTTCCCCCGCCCTTTTCCGCCTTTCTGATTCAGCCTTCCGCAGCCCAGTCCACCTTAAAGTGGGCCTCTGGTAGCCTGGTGTTTGTATACAGGGAAAATGTGGAGGCTGTTAAAGCTGCAGGCACACGCAGGCCTCACCAGTAGCCCACACTGCCCTAGGGGCAGTCAGCTTGCCATACTCTTAAAAAAAGGCCGCTGGGCCTTTGCAAATGTTCCTCCTGCCCTGGCAAACTACCTAGTCCTTTAGGGTTCGGCTCAGGAGTCACTTCTTCAGTAGTCTTCTGAAGCCCAGGCTGGGCCAGGAACCTCCTACAGGCCACAGGGAGACCTCTCCTGCACAGTGTCTGGTCATTGTCTTCCTCTTCTGCGGCTGGCACATAGTAAGCACTCAATCATTTGCTCAATAATAGGATAAGGGAGTCTGGCCTCTCTTCATGTACGTAGGTAGGCATGCAGGCAGACACAAACTTTCCAGAACCCCTGGCACAGAGCTCCCAACAGTGAAGCTGCACCCCAGGGCCCACTGCCATTCCCTCAGACCAGATGCAGAGGTTATCAGCTCAGGCCCAGACCCCTGCCCTTGAATACCAAGAAGTGCACCAGTGGCTGTGTGCAGTGCCTCGTCCCCCCCCACCCCACCCCCCGGCATGTCTGGAAGGTCCTCAGGTGCTGGGAGGGCAGACAGGTAACACAGACTCCAGGGGATATTTAGCTGTTCTTTATTGACATGGAGTCTGGGTACCCCTAGCCTCCAGAAGGATGAAGTAAGTTGATGGGGCTTCCAGCTCACACCTTTCCTGGGTCCTCCTTCAGTGTGACAGTCCGGTTGAAGACAAGCTGGAGGGCAAAGGAGGAAGAATGACCACCAAACCAAAACTGGGCTAGGAGGCCCTTGCTGGATCTCACTACAGAACCCCACACATACCCACACCTCATTCATCCCAGAAATGCTGAGGGTCAGGGTTCTCAGTAACTTTATGACTTTAGGTAAGGGACTAGATGGCTCTGGGCCTCCATTTTCTAAAGATTAAAACAACCCCTACGCCTGCCCCCTACCTTGAGGAGTAAAAAAAGCAGGGTCTAGACTTAACCTCTGAGCCCGTTTCCTCATCAGTAGAACGTGAACCCTACCTCAGGTGGTGAGGTAACTAAAGGAATGTAGGCAGAGTGCTTGGCACAGTGAATGGAAGCCACCACTATCACTGTGGAAAGGCCAGGCAGGTAAATTCAGGCACCTGTCCCTGGTGGCTGTCTGGATCCACGGAGAAGTAGCCAAGCCGCTCAAACTGGAACTTGTCAAAGGGCTTTGCCAGGGCCACAGAACAATCCACTAACGCCTCCACCACTTGCAGTGATACCTGCAGGCAGGAAACTCAGATGGCCATCCAGTCAGGGAAGCCCACCATCCTCACCCTATACTCCATGAGCCTACCGGGTTCAGGTCACTTAAGAATCCACCAGGCACCTCAGCAGGATCCTCAGGGTTCTTGTGCTGAAATCTGAGGCCAGAGTGAAGGTCAGACCAGCTGGGCAGCCACAGCAGGCAATGCCCATCTTCTACTTGTTCCCACCCCTACTCTGTTCACTCACAGTCGCTCGTAGAGGCGAATCTCACAGGTCAGGGGCTGTGAAACCCAGTGAATAAAGGCCTTGGGCTTTTCTCCAGCATCTGCCCTTCTGCAGGTCACCTCCAGGCTTTCTACACAGCCACTGGGGCCCTTTTAGTCAAGGGAGAGAGCCTGCAATCAGACCCTGGGACCACTACCAGGACTGCAGGCTGCACCCAGATCCTCACCCCAGTAGACACTCAGCAGGAAGGCTGCAGCTGGCTCTCACCTTTACGACTCGCTGCAGCTCGATGACGTAGCCTGTATGCCTCAGGCCCACAGACTGGCCCCATGCCAGGCGCTTATAACCGGGTTCTGGTTCCTAGAGGTAGGAAGCAGGGTGGCCACAAGAGGCTGCAAGGGTCGGAAAGGTAAAAGAGGCTTCTCCCCCACCCCTATGTTGGGCAGGGGTTGGTTCATCTAAAGCAGGAAGGAGATGGACTCCAGGACTGGGCTCAGCAGCAAACAGTACCCTCCACCCTCCCATTCACCTCCTTGAAGTCAGTCCTCTCGATGAAGACAATGGATCCAAAGGGAACCTGATGGAAGCCCTTGGTCTCATCAGCTGGGAAGTTGGGCACCTGGATGTCCAAGGTCTATAACAAGAAATGCGTGTCTGAGTCACACTAGGCACTGAAGCACCCCCATACACCAACACCAACACACACACACACACACACACACACACACACACAGAGGTGGACCTACCTTGGCAGCAGGAAAGTTGGTGATGATGACCTGTAATGGTTCCAGCACAGCCATGGCCCGTGGGGCTGTGTCATTCAATACATCACGCACACAGGCTTCTAGCAGATGTGGCTCCATTGTCGTCTGTGCAACTGTCACCCCCACCTAAGAGGAAAAGGCAGCATCAGACACAGCCACATCAGACTGCTGTGCTTGGCCCCCCACCTGCCCACCCAGCCCACTGGGCCATACCCGAGCACAGAAGTTGTTGATTGCCTCAGGTGGGAAGCCCCGCCGTCGTAGGGCTGTGAGTGTGAAGAGCCGTGGGTCATCCCAGTCCCTGTGAGCAAGAAGGTTGTGAGACCTTTGGCAGCATATGCCACTGGTACCACCAAACTTGGAAGAGCCAAACGACACCTACCGCACAGCACCGGCTGCCACAAGCTGGAGAATCTTCCTCTTAGAGACAACTGCATAGTGCAGGTTGAGGCGGCCATACTCCCACTGCACAGGACAATAAACATCCAGCGCATTGCACAGCCAGAAATAGGAAGAGCGTCTGGGGTAGGAGGGTACAGTAAGGAACTCAGACCAAGGACAGACCACAGGAAGGGCTGCTGGACTTCCACTGGCCCTACCCACCCGACGGGCCCAGCTCCCTCACCGGGCCTGGAATTCCTTGGTGCAGAGTGAGTGGGTGATGTGCTCGATGGAGTCACAGAGGCAGTGTGTGTAGTCATAGGTGGGGTAGATGCACCTGTGGGGCATAGGTAGTGGGCCCCACCATCCAGCCCCATTCTGCCCTACCCATGGCCCACCAACCCACCCCATGCTCCTACCCACCAGGTATCTCCTGTGCGGTGGTGTGGTGTATACTTGACTCGATAGGCCACAGGGTCCATCTTGCCATCCTCCATCACCAGCTTCATCCGCAGTGTGGCCTCACCCTCCGCAAACTTGCCCTTACGCATTGCCTGAGGGGAGCGAGGGCTCAGGCTGCCTCTCAGCACAGGAGCATCTCATCCTTGACATTCTGGCCCACCCAGACCCACATGCCCCTTGGGAACCCCACCTCGAAGAGCAGCAGTGACTCCTCTACGGGACGATCTCTCCAGGGAGAGGGCAGAGGGTTGTGGCCTTTGAGCTCCTCTCCTCGCTGGTGGCACACATAGGCCTGGCCCCTGTGGGGAAGAGGTGTGAGTGCCCAACATGGCTGTGTCCTAGTCAGCCTGCCTGGCTCCACATCATGGCCCTAGCCTCACCTGTGGATGAGCTCGATAGCCCAGGCATACAGCTGGTCAAAATAGTCAGAGGCATATGTCACCTTGTAAGGTGTGTAACCTGGGCAGAATGAGACACAGTCAGGGACACCTAATGGCAGGTTATGGCCCAAGGAGAGGCCCACTGACCACCAGCTCTTCCCAGGCCTCACTCAGCCCATACCCAGCCAGGCCACCATGTCACAAATGGCAGTGAAGAACTTTGCTTCCTCCTTCTCAGGGTTGGTGTCGTCAAAGCGCAGAAAACAAATCCCATTGTTGGCCTAGGAGAGTCAGTGTCTGTGAGCTCCACATCATTGGCTCCCAGAGTCAAGCTCATCAAACTGGAACATTTTCAGAATTCTCCCACGTCGGAATGAGAAACGTGTTCGAGTGTTTCACTGAATCTTCCTGTATTTAAATGCCATAAACGAGGAACCTCTATACCGACTTGGTATGAGAGAGGTTGCACTGGGAATTCCCTCAAATTTGAACTCACTGCCTCACCTCAAAGCTTTTTCCCAATGAGCCCAATGGATTCCGAGGTATCTGACACACACATGGTTCCTCATCATGGCCTCTGTCTGCTCTGGGCACATTATAGGAGAGCAGGAAAGGCAGAACACTTCTCTGTTATCTAGTCATGGGAGCAGCAAGTGGTTACCCTGCTTACCAAGTTTCCAGACACACACTCACCTTGGCATAGCCAAAGTTGAAATTGATGGCTTTGGCATGTCCAATATGCAGGATTCCATTGGGCTCTGGCGGGAACCGGGTACGTACCTGAGGTAAGAGGAATGGGAGCAGAGGAATTACGTCAGAGCTCAGACCACCCAAAGGAACAGATGCTCCTTCTCAGGGAGGCCATGGTGATAGGTGAGATGGGGCAATATGGAGGTAGCTCAGGCCCCCAGGCAAATGCTGATGGCACTAGCTTGCCTGGCCATACTCCTACACACCTGTCCCCCAGTGATCTCCAAGTGCTGCTTCAGTAGATCCATTGTATGTGGAGTGGTCACATAGCCTGGGGTCTTGTAGTTCTCACCTGCCAGGACCAGAACGAGCTTGAGGACCAGGCTGCAGGCCAAGGCTTCCCACCCTATGGGCCTGGCTGCAATAGTTGCTATCAAGATCCAGCCCTCCTCAGTGTTGCCCTGCCTGCTTACCAGGCTTGTGGAACTTAAGCGCCTCCCCTCGGAGCTGCTCCATCAGAGACAGGGTCTGGCCAGCAACCTCACCTGCAGAGACCAAGGAAAACTTATCCTCTGGACACAATTACTACATCCAGCTCAAGGCAGCACTTGTCGGTACTACTCATATCCTGCAACCAGAACAGAACCTAGCAGGTTCCTCTTCCCCTACCCCACACACTAGAGATAGAACCAGACTTCTCACGCCTCCTCAGGTCAGTCTCTGGGTGAAAGGAACAAAGGAAACAATAGGACTTCCAGTCTTACAGCAGAAAGCAGGGTGTTGTACAAAACCTGGCCTGAGGGGACAAAGCCCCATCAGACAGACAGCCCAGAAGATAGGAAGTTGAATGCAACAGGAGTCTCAAGCCTCTCACCATTCTCCACCACATCCTTGGCTGTCCTCCGGTCTATTTCTTCCAGCCGAGCCTTTGCTACCTAAGAAAAGTCCAGAAGTTGGGTCAGGGTCTCTCTTGGGTAGGAACTTGGGATCAACGGGGTCAGCCACTCCCTTCGCCAGCCTGAGATCTGACCCTACACCACCTCAATCCCAGGGACCCAGGACCATGCTCAGCTACCTTAGGCTTCTTCTCCAGATCAGTCTCCGTCTTGGGACCCAGAAGGTGGAGGACCTGAGCAGAGACCAGAGTTAGGCCTGGGACAGGAGTGTTTTCTTTCCAGAAGCCCCTGATTGACCCTGCCCACCCACCTAAGGACTTCCTGGCCTCTCTACCGGTACCACTTTGAAAAACCTACCTAGCCTATCCCACCTCTGCTCCTCACATAGTACTGCTTGCCTCAAATGCTCTTTGCCTCCTGAGGGTCCATACTGGTTTCAGGTAACAAAAACTGCCATTTAGAGAGAAACTCTGGGCTCAGCATCAAGATAAGCAATCTATCTCAGCCATCACCCTTTTGTGATTCTATGCCAGTATTCTAAATAAAGATGCTCATCTTCAATGAGATGAAAGCCACCCCTATTTACAAGGCAAGGAAACTGAGGTTCAGAGTAAAGGGACTCACCCCAAATTAGGCTCAACCCAGAAGCCCAAGTCTTTCACTGCCCACCCAGGTGCTGCCTCCTCCACACCAGGCTCCACTATGTATCAGCAGAATAGGGACAGAGTCTAGTCCCTCGGCTTCCGTTTATTCCTCAGTGGGCTCTAGACCCTGTCCATGGCAGGGTCTTCGCCGTCTTCAGCTCAAGAAGGTGCCCACCTGCATGTCCACTTCATGCTTGATCATTTTGCCATCTGCCCACTTGAGCACGGCCCGAGCCTCTCCTAGAAACATGGGCACAAGGAGCTGCAGAAAGGTAAAGAAAGGCACTTCCCACCCTCTTTCCCAAGAAAAGGTCCAGGCTGACCTCAGGAACCAGAGCCGGAGCCCAGCCAGACCACTTTTTGAGGCGCTCCTACTCCTCCCCCACCTCCCTCTCATCACTCCCAGAAGAGAAGTGAGACCAGAGAGAACCACCTAGTCCCCTCCCCAGGCCCTGCTCACCCATCAGCAGTCCCATGTTGAAATGGTAACGCTCCACTAAGAGCTGGGGCCGGTGGCGATTTATGGCAACCTCTACCTGTAGAAAGTCAAACCATATGATTCAGGAAAGTGTCCTTCAGAACCACACCCTCACCCTGGATCTCCCTGAGAAGCTGAGCCACTCCTTTCTAGGGCCAGAACTACAGAGGCAGCCAGATGCCTGGGGAAGGACTTACAGCCTCCTCAATCTGCTCCGGAGTCACCGTGATGCCCACACCACATTCCTGCTCAAAGTCCACGGTGTCGATGGGGTCCAAGGGATGACTTTTCACATACTCAAGGGCAGCTAAGAAAGGAAAGCCAATGAGTTTGTGACATCTCAGCTCCAAGAAGTAAGTAGACAGAAATCCCATGAAATCCCAATTACAGCTTGGCCTTCTGGGAGGTTCAGCCTTGTACCGCCCTAGAGCGGCGCTGGGGCCACAGGACAGAAGCGTGTGTTCTGAGAGAGGCTCTCCCCCAGACCTACACAGTTCCCCAGACAGTCGCACAGGGGGCGGAGCTCTCCATCCCTCAGTGCCAGACCTGACAGAGAGGAGTGCGGAACTAAGCATCCAGAGAAATATTGGGGGGCTTGGCAGAAAGGGGCCTTGGAATAGGGCTGGGGTTGGAGGTGGAAGTGGCAGGTCAGGCGGGGGTCTCACCGCTCAGCTGCGACTCCGTGTGGATCTTCTTATTGGCTATGTAGCTCACGAGGAAAGAGAGACGCCGGGGGTCCCTGAGCCGGGAGGCCAAGCCATAGAGCAGGGTCCCTGTAGCCTTGTCGATGGTGGAGCCCAGAGTCTGCTGTGCCTGGAGGGAAGCCCCACCGCCAGTGAGAAAGGCATACGCGAGACAAGGTGGGTAGACGGGGCTCGGGACCAGCCCGGCGCTGCGTGGGGGCACAGTCGGCACCCCGGAACAAGGGCAGAGGGGCTCGCACCTGAGTCGCAGCCTCGCGCAGCTGCGCGCTCAGAGCTGCGTTCTTGAGCGTCTCGCGAGCCTTGTGCTCGCTCAGGCCGAGGCCGGTGAAGAGCGACAGAGAGTCCACAGCCGCCATGGCGGAGGCACCGGAAACCGGAAGAAAACTTTGGTTTCCGGCCTGCACGCTGACGTTTGCCCACTGACCAATAGGAGAGCGAAGGCGCCAGGGCGAGCCAATGATGTCCTTGCTCGGCGGGAGGGGCCGCGGCTCGCCAGGATCGTCGGCGCCATTTAAATGACCGGGTGCGCCCCAACCAGCCTTTTCCGGCGCTTCATATCCGTCTCCGCGCTCCCGGTCGTGTGAGGGGTAGGAGGCGGCCGAACTTGAAGCGGGAGGCAGGCCTTTGGCACGGGCCTTTGCTCTTCTGCTTTTCTCCTTGCACCCTGGAAACCTTGGGACCATCCTAGTCTGTTCTCGGGAACAAATGTGAGTCCCTATCGCGTTTCTTGCCTCAGCTTTGGAGTTATCATGGAAATAATTGAGCTAAATGGAGCCCTGGAAATCCGGTTGAGACTCCACAGCAGAGACTGTGTTGAACGGCTGATCAGGGGGCCCCGTTAAGACTGGCACTTTTCGGGCACTCAACCTGGACACACCTGGCCAGGAGATGGAGACGTTTGGGCCAGGAGGGACCTCGCAGTAGTACTGTGATTTAGTTTAAAATCTCTCGGCACACTTATCTTCCCATGCCAAAGCATGCAAATGTGAAAACCACAAGCAAATGAGATCTTCAAACCTACCTACTGGAATTTGACAGGACATTTTATTTAAGTTGGGATACTGTGGGGCAGAAGAGATAGTATCTTCATGATGATGGCTGTTGTGCTTGGTCTCCCCACAGTCTCTCAGTTTTCTGCGTGGAACTGGAGCTGCTGGTGGTGGGATGGTGAGGATATCTCCAGATTTGGAATCGGAACCCAGGTTTTTGGAGGCCTTGATGATGCTAATACTCCTGGACCTTTGAGGACTGGGCAGGATCCAGGCTAATCTGTATCCATATTCTGCACCCTGCTTCATGGCCATATCCCACTAATGACCGAGTTCCATTTCTGGGCCTACATCTGGGTCCCACATGATGACCAAATGCCAGGTTCTGCCCAGGGCCACACACTGCATCAGTGTCCAGGTTGTCTTGTGTCTTGGGGCCTCCCACCTCCCCATGGCCCCTTGGCCCCAGCCTGATGGCCAGCCAAAGCCAGGTGCAAGCACTGAACAGGGGATACAGTGCAGTGGTGCCACAGATAGGCACCAAGAAGCAGAGCCACAGCCACTCCAGCCCTGTGCTGAGTTCACAGCAGCAGGTGCTTAACCCACCACAAAGGTGCCTATGGTGAGCATAGTGACTGGCTGCCACTGTCTCCTCTGTACCTGATACCACCGAAGGATTTACTATAGCACCATCATTGAATCCTGTAGGTCTGGTAATGTCCCCCTCAGTGGGGTTAGGTCCTGTACTTGTGTCCTGGCCTCAGTACCTACCCTGTGGACCCTGTGACTCCATGTCACACAAGGAGGCAGTAGCCCCACCAACTCTACCAAGAATGCCACAATGCCAGGCCAGCCAGTCTTGTGGAGCCCTATGACTTGCACAGAGCAGACCATGAAAATGTATGGGTCCAGCCCAGGGGGTTGGGGATGGCTGGCTTGCTTGCGTGAGCCCCTGGCATTACATCCAGGAAAATCAATTAAAAGAGGGTCAAGGAGAAAAGCCAGGCAGCAGCTGTGGCGTGGAGAGGCAGGGTCCAGCGCCCAGGCCTATGGACAGGTCCCTGCGGTGTAGGATAACAATGAACGTAAAGGCAGCAGAGGCCACAGCGTTGGTGGCCACAGCAGCCTTCTACAGATGCCACAGAAGGGTAATGTGGCAGGCTTAGCAGCAGCAGGACTATGATCAGGAGCAGACAGAGCCCTTAATCAGTGAATCCAGCACATGGAGACCACTGGTGACCACTTGGGGCTGCACACAGTGTGGGGCCAGCACAGTCCTGTTGCAGACCATGCCCAGTAGGCCCTCCAGCAGTATGCCAGCACCAGCCCCCAGCTTGGCAATTCTACCATTTCTGCACGGTCTCACACTCAGCTCTCCAGGTCCCTCTCCAAGGCCATTAACCCCACATGGTTCTTGTGTTGTCCCCACAGGAAAAATCCAACATTGGTTACAGGCTAGCTTTCTCCAGGACCTCCCTCTGTTCAACACCACCCTTAACTCCAGCTGAGGCAGAGGGGTACTAGCAGGGCCCACGAGCTGCTTGTGGGTTGGGCTTGGGGGTGGGGATGGACCAACAGCACTGCCAGGACCCTGTACCACTTCTGCCTGCCTTACACTTTCTGGCATTTATGAACACCTGCCTCACAAGTACCTTTGCTCCCCATCTCCCTCCAACTAGAGACGCCCACCGTACCCCCAAGAATTGGAGAAAGGAGGGGACAGCATTAACCACGAAGTGAGGCAAGGCAGCTTCTGACAAGATTTGCCCATGTTCTGTGTGTACAAGGTCACAAAGGCTCCGAGGCTGGGACAAGCCTGCACACCTACTGTGGGTGAACAGCCTAGGGCAGGGGCCAGGAGCCAAGGTCTCAGGACTCAAGGGAAGAAATGCCTCCTTCCTCATACAGAAAGTCAACCAGAATTAGCTTTGACCTATTCTGCCTGTCCTTTTGAAGCAAGGTCTCCTTCCCCACAGATTTTTCCTGCTGTGTTCTCCCTTGAGGGATCCAGATGGTACTCAAACTAGCAAAAAAAGACCTGAGAATGGGAAAGGAAGAAGATTTCCCCCAGTACCTCCTCCAAGTCCCCCTGACCCATCTGTCAGCTTCTGGAGCCTCATGGGGGTCTCCTCCACCCCTTGGGTGTGAGGTATTGACAATGATGCGAACCACAGCCACCTCCACATGAGACTCAAGCAGGCAGGCCCCCGAGAGCTGATGGAAAAGTGAGCTTCGTGATCCACAGGGCCCGAGGTGGAGACCTACCAGCTCTCCGCAGACCAGAGCGCTTTCAGATTCTTCAACACATGGACATGCACACACATCAGATGGGAAAGGGAGGTGGCCACAGCACCTGGTGCATCAGTCACTAAGTCTGCTTATTTATCATTTATTTTTAAAATATATTTAAACAGCAGCAATCACTTCCGAAATGAAAAAAAATTACAATTTTTAGAATAAAATTAAACGTTTATAATGCGAGTCAGAAAGAACTGAAGGTACAACCAAGAATCACACCGCGCGGGACTGAGGGCGGCTGCGGAGGCCAAGGCCTGCTGGCTTGGGGTTTGAGCAGACAAGAGGCCCCAACCTGTGAGGCTCCCACCCTCGTCACACCCCCACTCCCCACTGAGGAAGCCAGTGTCCTCTGGGTTAAAGAAGGAGAAGCGGCAGAGCTGGCCCTCTGGGGGGGATCCCCAAACCCAGCCCCCCCCCAGCCAGGGACCTGCTAATCGACCTCCTCCATGTTGCTGTAGGTGGGGGCTGGGCGGTCCACAGGGGGGGCGAAGCGTTCAGGGGCTGTCCGCGTGGGGGCCACCTCGGGGGCCTGGCCAGGGCCTAGTCCCTGCAACAGAATATGAGGACAGGGGTTGGGGGCTGCCCAGTATGCTGCCTGGCGTCCCAGGGGTGCTGGCTCAGAGCTCCGGCACCCTAGGGAGGGCCCCAAGGCAGGCGCAGACAGCAGCGGCATTGAGACAGAGACAAGATCAGGCCTGAACAGTCTCACTTTATTAACACTTTAAATACAGGAAGCTGCTTGCGCAGGGCTAAGCCCCAGGCCAAGGGTCAGAGCAGCAGGATGGATGGACAGACAGCTGGATGAATACCCACCCTAGTTTGCTCTGCCCCTGCAGGAACCACAGTCCCCACCTTCTCCCTCCAGGTGCACACACTGAGGCCCAAGCCCAGACTTGGTCCCCCACAGGCAGGCATGCCTGATGGGCAGGCAGGTGGGCCAGCTCATAGCAGCTGCCTGCAGGCGAGCTCATCTCCAGCGACTCTGGGATACCAGAGGATAGAACACGTTGAGCACGAGGGCCACCAAAGCTGCTACGGTACCCAGAACAAAGTATCGGAGGCAGCCCTCATCTGGTGTGGTAGGGCCACGTGGCGGGGGGCCCACCCAGTCTTGGGGCCCCCAGGGACCCAGGGGTGCAGGCCCCTCGGGTACCAGCTCCTCCTCGGCCTCCAGCTCCTGCCAAATCCGGGAAGCCTACAGTGTGCGGAAACGGCTATCAGCACCCAGAGCAGGGGATGGAAGTGGGGGGTGACCCAGTATCCCTGAGACCCCCGGCCATGACACTCCTACCCAAGGTGACTGGCGCTAAGCCCCTACATCCTAGGTTAAGCAGCAGGGAGGTGAGCAGGCAGAAGCCAAGTAGACCATTCGCAGGATTGTCTAGACTGAGCATCAGGATAGGTGAATCTTGACAGCATTTTGGCCTCCAGAAGACTTCCAATCAACACGCAACTTCACATGGCAGGCTGGGGCTAGCTAGTCAGTTTTTTAGCCCAGGCCTCCCACAGACGGGACTGGATCATGGAGGATAGAGCTGCAACCTGAGTAATCTTCTGGCTCCTCCCATCCACGTCCAGATCCTGACCACTGTCTTCTGGAAGGATTTCTCTGAGTCTCAGTGTAGGGGGCTCAAGGCAGGAGAGGACAGCAAGGGGGAGACTAGTATAGAAGAGAGATGTGGCTTTGCCCACCAACCAGGCCTATGGCACCCCATGGAAGAGAAGACCCCAAAGGCTCAGCAGAAATAGATGCTCACCTCAGAGAGGGCGACAGCCGCCCCAGGCCATGGCTAGCCTGGAGAGGCCTTGTCCTGAGTGTGCATCAGAATACAGGGACAATCACAAGTGAGGGTTTATGGGCTGGCATGTGCATAGGGAAGCTGGAGGCTGTCAAGGACAGTTTGTTCATGCACCATACCCAGTGAGGTTCAGAGCAGCTAGTGGGTGCCTATGTGCATGCCAATGGCAGTTTATTGGTGTGTGTGCACCTAAAGGGCCCCTATAGCACGGTGATCATTCTGGCTAAGGCTTCATGGAAGGGACCCTTGTCTTTGATTCACAAATCCCAAGGCTGCAGGGGCCTATGGCTGGAGGAGAGGAAGCTATGCCCCACCCCCTCCCATCTATGAGTCAGGCCCCACTAGCCTTCGAAACTTCCCCCAGGCCTCACCTGGCTGGCAGCAGCCTCAGCTGCAGGGCCTAGGTCTGGGTGGCGCTCAGAGTGACCTGCCCGGGGGGGCCTCTCCACAGGAGAGTTCCGCCGGCGGTAGAAGAGTACATAGGCATAGCGTGTCACGACCTGGCTCTCGTCTACTGTGGTCACCGTGCTGTCATCAAACAAGCGCCAGCCTATAGCAAGGTAGGAAGAGGGTGAGCATAACCTACACCACCACCCCTGCCACCTATCCTGCTGGCTGCATGTGCCCTCACCCACGTCGCTGCGCTGGCTGCTGCGGTCATTGGGTAGACGTGCACAAGCAGTGTAGTGGCCGCCAATCATGCCTCCATAGTGGTTGATGACAGCATACAGGTCGTAGCTGGGCAGCTGCTCCTCTTTCTGACCGATGCAGAACTTGCTCAGGTCCAGGTTACTGTGATTCCAACCACAGAGGTGAGATAGTCAACGGTGCCCAGGATGCTTGGCCCCCATGCCCTGCCTACAGTCACCAGGGCCCCTCACTCACCGAACAGGGAACTCCACCAAGTCATTGATCTTGTCACGCCAGATGAAACTGCGGAAGGAGAAGCGCTTGAGCTGCACAATGAGCACGTTTGGCAGGCGCCACAGCAACAGCTGCTTAGAGGCTTCGCGGTGTTGTTTGCACTGCGGGCAATACCTGATAGGGAGCAGAGATGAGGTCAAGACCAGCAGATCTCCACTCCCCCCTGCCCCAGCACCTGCCTGCTGCCCGGCCCTCACCAAGCCTCCTCTGGAGCCAGCACTTCAGGCCGCGTGAAGAGGTTGAGGCACTGGTCCAGAGTGAAGTGGCCAGCGCGGGCAGCCTCACCAGCAGAGCCGGGATCCTCGGCACATTCCAGCTCCTTGGAAGCGACCAACACAAACTCCTGCAGGCGCTCGTTGTTCCGCCAGACAAGAGCCAGGCTGCAGTCATCTCCCAGTTCCAGTGGGGTATCTCCTGGAGAAGGGCAAGAGAGGGGTCAGCTGTGGAGAGCAGCCAGCCCACCCCACCCACAGCTCCCACCACACCCCAGACACCTTTATCCTCTAGCCGCTGCTCTCGGTTGGATGCGTCGATTTTATAGATTAAGAACTGGGGTGTGTGGGAATTCATGGCTTCACTCGGGTGTTGGTACCCAGGCACAGCCGCTGTGAGCGAACACAATAATCAGAGCCTAACAAGCTTCCCCCAACCTCCCCTCCCCTAGCTGCAGAGCCTTTCACCAGACTCTTACCTTCCGGCCGGGATGCCCTCTCACCAACAGGCAAGGAGCCAACTTCAATGGGCCCACTGGCCAGCATCTCGGAAGAAATGCCACTAGTGCTGGGCACAGGACCCCGATCAGGGACTGCCCATGCCCGGGGGACCGTGTCCCCCTCAGCCACTGGGGTCACCATCTGGAGTTCAGGCGGCTGAATGGGATCCCTCTCACTGTCCCCAGCCTCCAGAGAGCTACTGGAGTGCAAAGTAGTGCAGCCAGGGCCCTGGGACTCCAAGGCCATGCGGCCAGGCTGGAAGGGTGGCTGGAATACACTCACAGAATACCTGGCAACAGGCAGCAAAACAAGTAAGAATCCTGACCAATACATCTGGCACCTTTACCCCCCACCCACCCTACCCTAATTCAACCACTGGGCACTTACCGGGCATAGCCCTCTAGCAACTGAGCGAGACGTGCATAAGTGAGGCGTGAGGCAGGCACACTGACCAGGAAGGGGTAGCCAATGTTCTCAGGGCGGCAGAGGCCCTTGTGGTCAGGCCAATGGGTTTTCTGGCAGAGCCTGGAGGGAAGGGGGAGGGAAGAATAGGGTCTTAGCCCCATGGGCCTCCTATGACTATACTGGGGGATAGTCTCTGGCCCTGGAAAATAGGGATGCTGGCCCTGCCTCCCCCTGGTAGGGCCTGGTAGAGTGGGGTGGTAGATGGAGGGCTTAAATCGTATGTGGAAGGGAGGCAGGTGGGGAGGAGGGAAGGGGTAGACCGCGGGGGTCCTCACTGGTTGCAGTAGCCCACGCGGTAGCACCGAGTACAGCGTTTCAGCTTCTCATCCTCGGACTGCTGCTTCCGCTGGCAGGCTGCACACTTGGAGATGGGGATGCTGGGCACCTGGGGGCGCTAGGGTGGGTCATCTGGCTCAGCAAGGCCAGGCCAGGTGGGAATGCCCCCCCCACCACCAGGGCCCTGTGCCATCAGGTCGGCCTCCACTCACCTGCTGCACCTCTAGCACCACCACCCGCTCCTTAGCCAACTCTGGGGACAACAGCTCAAAGCACAGGAGCACATCTGATGGGGACACAGTGTCCAGTGAGTGGGAGGGCAGGAACACACGGTGGAAACGGTTCTTAATCACCTGAGACAGAGAACACACAGATCCTATGTGAGGACAAGCCCTTCCCCCAACCCTGCCCAGAATACAGGGAGGCGGCCTGGCTCTGATTTGGGGTCTATGGGTGGAGGGGTAGGGATTGTGGCCCCAAAGCAGTATAGGCCTCTGCTGGCACCAGCCTTAGTGCCTAATGGAAGGAGCCTGGTGCTTCAGGACCTGAAAGACCAGGACTGGGTCAGGTACCAACCACAAGCTCTCCACACCGAGGGCCTCTACCCTGCTCTCAATTAGTGGGGACCTGCTGAGACCGCAACATGGTTATCATGGGGGGGGCTACATTCGAGGAGGCTCCTCCCCACCTCTAACCCTCTGAGGATAAGAGCACTGCCAGGATGGAAGCTCAGGACCTTCGGGGAAGACCAGCGCACAGATCTGGGATAACATGAAGGAGCAGCAGACGGAGAGAGAACCATAGCTGGTGGAAGGACAGTCCTGCAGCTCACGCTCCTTGTTTGAAAAGGGAAAAGCAATTGGAAGCTGCCACCAAAAGGGGGAGTAAACCCTGACGATGTCTGGGAACTGAGGACACCTCTTTTGCTCAGCCCAAATGCCTGCTTTCAACCATGTCTCAACCAGTAACACACCATCTGTTTTCACGCAGTCACGTGCACAACCATGTGTCCATGGCAGGTGCCAGTGACTGTTCACAAGTGTCTGTGTGCTGTGAGTACACAGACCCACATGCTTAAGAGCCTGGGGAAGGACAGACATACCTCGGCCAGACGCAGGTTCTCAGGCTTCACATGGACACTCTGAGAGAGAGAGTCCAACACTTCACTTGCACTGGAGTTCTCTTTGCTGATGCTCACCAGGAACTGTGATGAAAAGAGCAGACAGAGTCCATGGGGAAGGTGGGCCAGGGTCTCTGGGACAGCCCCGAAGTAGGAGCGTATGCCTCACCTTGATGGGCTTGCTGTGGGGCTCCCGGGCAAAATAGAAGACAGGGAGGACCTTTTGCTTCTGAGGTAAGGGCACCGGCAGGTAGAGGAACGGGTCAAAGGTGATGGAGACCTGCAGATGCACAAAACAATCCCTCTTTCTGGCACTTGAGGTCCTGCCCAGCCTAGTCAGTTTATCAATGTGCGCCTCTTGCTCCCCATGCAATGGTAAATGGAGTTGTTTTATTTCTCTTTCAGTCTTACCTATACCTCTGCCCCTCCTTACAGCTATCTGTGGGCGCAATCACTTTGACCTCAGCCAAGAAGCCTACTCCGCCAACCTCTGCAGCCCACACAGGAGCTTAAGGCCTCCAGTCAGCTTCCTTGCCCAAACCTGGCCCCACCAACACCTAAAGATTCACATGCCTCTGACCTCAATTTGACCAGGCTAGCTAGGCCAAGCAAGGGGGTCTCTCTCTAGGGGAGCATATCACACCTTGGCACACACAGGGCACACCAGCTTCGACTTGTACTGGCCCTGAAACAGGTCCACGATGAAAGAGTCATTCCTCATCTTGTGTCTCTGCCATGCTTCCTCAGCCACCACCTGAGGGACAGAGTGGTGAGGACCGAGGAGACCTGGGCACTGAGAAGTGCATGAGACATGCCCACCTCTACTCCCAACCCTGACCTCGTCAGGCCGCCCATCGGAGTCCACTGTCTCCGTGTAGGGCTTGTTCTGAATGCGGTTCAGGTCCTCGTGAAGCCCATCCAGCAGGAAAGCCATGAACTCCTGGGCATCGTGCTGTGCATAGCCTGTGAACTGGCTGGCCTTGCTTGCCACAATAGCCTGAATGCAGATGTAAAGTGTGAGCATAGAGCCCAGCTCTACCGTACACCCAGCTGGCTGGCCCTCCCCACCCTCTCCAGCAAACGGAGGAAGTAGCCACAACTCACCTTCAATTTGGAAGGCTGGAAGGCATGGTGGGTGCCCTTCCACAGTGCCCGGAGCAGCACAGCAAAACCGATGGCTAGACGCCCACCTGTCCCCAGTGGGTTGTTGTAGTTGATTTCGGTCTCAAAGGAGCGATCTAGGGACAGCAGCCAAACAGAAGTGTGAATGGGGAAGGCATCCTCCATGCCCACAGGCCAGGGTGTTGGCACTGCTCTCACCATGGAAGAAGTCCCGGAGCTCCCGAGTGTTGGACAGAGACTGGATGACGCTGTTCATGAAGCACGTGTTGCCCAGGTTGACCAGGCCCGTGAAGCCTGGCAGACACACCTTCTTTTCCTCCTCCTCTTCCTCCTCCACGCTATCTCCGCTCACGGGGCTGTGGGGCATTGGAGGCACCATACACGTGGGCTTGGGCTGTGGGAGTGAGGGGGAGTGAGACAGCAGCCCTAGAGGCTCTCCGGCTTCCATCCTTGGCCCTCCCCACCCCAGGATTCTCACCGAGGCCAACTGTGGCTCTGGCTTTGGGGCTCCATGCTCCACGGGGGTTCGGGCTGCCACACCATCCAGCCCTGTGTCCTCAGATCGAGCCTTGGGTTTCTCCTTCTCCACAGCCCGGGCTTCCTCTTGGCCTGTCAGGGGGTGCGGAGCACCTCCTGGTGGGGTTGAATCCAGAGGGGTTGGACCTGTCGGCACGGCAACCTTTGCACCACCCACTGCACCTTAAAAAGGGGGAACGAGGGGGCTGGTGGTTAGCAGCACGTGGCAGAGGGTGGGGGTCCCGGTCGTGCGGGGTGGGCAATGAAGGGAGCTCGTGTGCAGACCTCGTGCAGCTGGGGCCTCCAGACCCCCCCAGCGCTGACTCTGCCGCTTCCGGAGGCAGATGTCGATGCGAGAGGCCGTGAAGCAGAAGGTGCACTGCTCTGGCTCAATCAGATTCCTGCGAGGAAAGGCTGAACTCAGAAACAAGTGGAGTACATGTCTGGCCAGATGGGCCAGGGAGATGGAGCCCAGGGTGGGACAGGCAAACAGTGTGGGGCCGGGCACCACCCACCTGAGCTTCACCTGCCAACGGAAGACAGTGTGGGGCCCGCAGCCCGGGTGCAGCCTCAGGAAGTTTCCGTCCCTGGAGAGGCACAACAGGGCAGGAGGAAGAGCATCAGACACAGTCCTGCCTGCAGCGCACCATCTATCCAATCTCCCACCACCCACCCACCTGGTCTGGAAGATAAGCGTGAAGTCCTGCTCGCGGAAAAGCACTCGAGAGGTGTCCCTGCAGATTTCCTTCACGTACACGTGCACCACCACTGAGTCAGGCCCCTTCTCATACGAGTCATTCTTGACAAATGCCAGGTTCACCATGGATTCCGGCTCTACATTGAGACCACAGCTCAGCACCACCCAGCACAGGTTCCCACCGGTTACTATTCTACTCCCTACCTGCCCACCAACCTCGCAGCACAACCTAGGGCTCTGCCTGCCCACCCCCGGCCCCACCTTTACCATCCACCAAGGATGCAGCATCTGCTGCCACTGCCATCTCCTCTTTGGACCGGTCACCTTTCTCAGGGTCTCTGTTCCGGGTCATAGCTGGAGAGACTGGGTCATTCCTGGGGGACACTGCCTTCTCTCCTGCCAAAAGTGCTAGATTCTCCTCTGAGCTCAGGAGGCAGGTCTGGTGCTTCAGCGGTGGTACCCGGAGCTGTTCCTCAGCCTCAGCCTATGCGTGGCAAGTTTGTGGACAAGATCAGCCCTGGGCCAGCCAGGCAGGTGTCCCTACACATTGCAGTCCGCACCCTTCCTCCACCTCCCAACTCCCACATAGGCACTCCACACTCACCTGGGTGGCTGGCTCAGCCAGAAAAGGGGGGGCATCGCCCTGGGGTCCAGGGCCATCTCTGGACCCTTCCCCCTCTTGCCCTCTTCGGAGATGCACAGCCCTCTTGGCACTGGGCCCTGCCTGGGCCCCGGGGCCAGCCCCTGCCCCTACCTCACCACGACCCTGGGCCCGCTTCTGGTTCCGGGCCTCCTGCTTTGCCCGGCGGGGCTCAGGGGCTGGCTCCAGGGCAATGGGAGATGACTCCTGCCCATTCTCCTGGGACTGAAGCCCTGGCACCAACTCCTGGGTCCCTAGGGGTTTCTTCTGTCAAAGATACAACAGTTAGGCCCTGTCAACTACATGGGTATCCCTCCCCTCCCTGGCTCTGGAACTTACCAAGAGAGAGGGCCATGTGAGCAGAGGCACCTTCTTGGGCAGTGCCAGCTGCAGGAGGCCACCTTTGCGAGCCTGCACTTTAGTGCAAGAACTTTCTATCTCAGCATAGAAAACACCACCCCACTGCCGACCACCTGGAGATAGAGTGGAGCAGTGAGCTGGGGTGGCGCACATCAGAGGATTCAAATATACTGCTGGGCTCAGATGAGATGGACGCACCTGGAAGCCGCACCATACAGTCTGTGTCTGTGAAAGCAGCATCCACCTCCTCCAGCCGCAGGGGAACCACTCCCACACGCAGCTTGACAATCACCTCATCTGCACTCTGCTTCCAATCAAGCAACAACTCTGTGGAAAGAGTACCAATAAGACCATGAGGGTCTCCAGATGGGGGCTGTACCCCTGTACCCATCTTTTCCCCTAGCACTTTAGCACCCAAAGGCCTACTCATTACTCACCCTCTTTGGTCTGCTCCTCCCGAGGAGTGGACACTGACCCTGACAACAAAGCAAAAAAATAGGGAAACGATGAGGAGGAGGCAGCCCTTCCATAACCCCACCACCCCACCAAGCACCATTTATAAGATCTCAGCCAAATACTCAGACTTCAAAGCTGAGGCTCGCCCTAGCCGGTTTGGTTCAGTGGTTAGAGCACTGGACTGCGGACTGAAGTGTCCCAGTTCAATTCCGGCCAAGGGCCCATGCCTTGGTTGCAGGTTTGATTCCCAGCCCTGGTCGGGGCGTGTGCGGGAGACAACCAACCGATGTGTCTCCTTCACATCGATGTTTCTCTCTCTCTCTGTCTCTCCCTTTCACTCTCTCTGAAAAAGCAGTGGGAAAAAGTATCCTTGATTGAGGATTAAACAAACCAAAAAAAAAAGCTGAGGCTCTACCCAGCTTGCCATGTCCTCCTCTCAGCATCGGAGCAGGACAGAAGGAACAGCAAAAGTCATTTCCCAACCCCCAATCTGTAGGCTCAACAGGAAGGAGGAGGAGGCCACAAGCACTCTGGGAATGCCATTACCACCTCTCCTAGGATCTCCATCCTTGCTCTCCTGGTTTGCTCGATCCTTCTGCTTCTTCTTACTAGTGGCCTCCTCCAGTCCTGGGGGCCCTCTCCTGGCACTGGACCCACCAGACATCTTTAGCCGCTTGGTTGACAGCCAGAGTGCCCCGGGGTCGGCAACGGCGTCTGGGTCAGGGCTACGGCGCTTTCTTCCTGGCCCAGCTATCTTGGCAACTCTTTGTGGCCAAATTCTCCAGCAAGGAAGTGACAGCCTAATGAGGAGGGACCAGGAATCACTACCAAGGCCCAACAATTTGCTCCTTGGTTACAGCCAGGGCTCAGCAACCACAGGTTCCTAACCCTACAGAGCAATATCTCTTTACCACCTGATGTAGCCGTGGATACACTCAGACTATTCTGAAGGGGAAATAAATAATGCAAGTAGCAGCAACCATTTCTGGCTGAGCCCCATAGATGCCTGCTACACAGATCTGCAAACACGGAAGCCTCAATGAGGAGACACCAGGTCAAAGCAGCCACAGTCTGGGGCCAGGCTCCTCTACCAATCTGGAGAGGAGCCAAGGCTCCAGCCCACAGGGTGCTCACTTTTCCTTCGCTCTCACTGGCTGCTTAGTCACCACCCGAGAAGTAGGAGGTGGAGGAGGAAGGCAGGACAGAAAGACACAATCAAGCAGCAGGAAGACCAGGCTCTGTGGCTGAAAATAGGCCCAGCCCAGGTGCTACCACTGCCCAGGCAAGGTCTTGTGGCTAAGATGCCCCACCTGCCTGCCAGCTCCTGCCCTCCTCTGAACCTGCTCCCATGCACTGCTTGGATTTTTCCCTACATCCCAAGACAGATTCCTCTCTCCAGCTGGTGTTCAAAGCAGAGGGGCCTGAAAAAGCTGAGGTGAAGCGGGTATCCAGATGTCACATTACCCTTTCAGCAGCAAGCCTGCCCCAGAGCCAGGCAGGGCGGGCACCCAGTTTGAGACTGAAATAGATATCATCCCCTTCCTTCTCAGGTCCATTCACTCATCAGCTGAGCCAGAGACCTTCTACCCAGTTTCTCACAGACCCACCAGTGAATTCTGGGCCGTCTCTCCAACCAAAATAAAGTTCTCAGAACTGAGAAAAAAGTAGGGATGAACTATGCATCCAGGATCCCTGGCTGCCTTAAGTCTGGCCTGAGACAGTAGCAGGACAGAGGCTAGCTCTGCTCCCCAGGGCGAATGTGGGGGCAGATATCCTTCCATGGGTCAGATGTGTGACTGGTGGGCTGGATCTTTAATGACCACAGGTCCAGAGGCAGGAAGCGGACACTCTCCGCCTCCCTGCACCTAGGCCCCAGCCGAAGGTCGTGTCCCTCCCCATGCCGGCCTAAGAGGCCGTGCGGGGTTACTGACCGCAGACCAGCGCCCCCCGGCCGGGCTGCAACCCAGATCCTGCCTCCGAACCCTGCGCCCGCCACCGCCACCGCCTCCTCCAGGAAGTCGCCCTCGCTCGCCGCCAGCCCTTTCTGAGGCAGGAGGCCAGCCACCGGCGTAGCGTAACCGCCCCGCCAGCATCGGCGGG